AATATTTGCTTTATGGAAGCCTTTTATATACCTAATTTCCTCAGAGAGCTATTTAGTTATACCAAAATGAGACTAAAGTTTGTTCTTCCACATCCTGTTGCTCTGTTTGTAAAATCTAGGAACTAAGCATTCTGCAGTCGCCATAATTTCACCCCTGTAAATAGCTCCGTAGGTCCTTTGAACAGCAAAGCACAGCTGCTGGAGCTGGTGAGCACCCCCAGTAAAATCCAGATGTTGCATTGAAGTGATATTGTATCCATGCACTCCAGGAATTAGATGATTTATCCCATTTAAACATAGGGGTCTAGTTTAGATACCTTCTGATACTACCTGTCTCTCTGCATCAGTTAGAAAGGAAATTGCATGGCTGTTTAGACGTGGGCCAGCATGTCCTAAATGCCATTAGCCAAGATGAATCCCATCTCAAAGACTTAAGAAACTTTAATGTTGACTTAGAGAAGCAATCCCTCTGTGTTTCCTTGTTTACTTGCTAGGCTGAGAATAGACCCAAGCTGTGCTGCCGTTTTGCATTAAATCTTGTCCTTCCTCAGCCAGCTCATAGCCAGAGTTCTTCAGCGCATTTCAAACTCATGAGGCCAATAGCAACTTTTTAACCACCTTAGCAAGGGCACATTGATGTCACTGACTCTTATTAAAGGTTTCTAGCAGAAAAATTATTTTCGGATCTGGCTGGACTTTGATCAGTACAAATTGGAAGATGTCTAGGGAAATCATTGGCAAGACAGTATGCAAGACAGAAACTGTACCAAGGTGGATGCACTTATATGGACATATGCAAAAGGCACTACTTCTCCAAAGATTAATAAAGGTGTCCTCAAACATTTTTAGTAATTGAAGTACATGCTGCTTAAGTGCTTGCTCTTCTGTGGCCTTTGCTGTGTTTTGAAATGTGCGTGGTGCATCAGGTCCTGTGACAGACAGCAGCCACAGCCCAAAAGCGCACTTAGACTGTGTGCTAGGTGATATCTGCAGATTGGTGTTGCAATCCCTTTCTTTCCTCTGAGCCAACATCTGGGCAGAAGTGAGAACAGTGGCTGCGTGATTGCACAAGGCATTGGCAGGGCAGTGGCAGAGAAGAGCGTGCCTGCTACTGAACTGACAGATCTGGATAGGGGAGAGACCTCTTTTCCTAGCCGAATAATATGGGTGAGCTGTGGGGGAAGCGGGGTTTTCTGCAGCCACGTACATTAGTGGGAGCTGTAAGAATCTGGAATCCACTTTAAACCCTGCCTGTGCCCCATGTTCTCAATATTTGTA